ATGTGAACAATATTGTGACTGGTGGTGATGGTGGCGATAAGAAGGGAAGGAAGAAGAACGAGGAGATGAGGGCTGGAGTAACATTTTTTTTTAGTACTTTGAAGGGAGTATTATAGTCTTTTCATAATTTATGGTTAATTATAAAATAAAATAAAGATTAGTATTCCCTGCAATTATTATTTCAAATCAAACATGATTTTAAAATATCTTTCTAACTTCTAAGTCCCGATCTGAGTCTCTTCAAATTGAGGCTTGCATGCCAAATAAGGCCTTAGTTCACTCAACCTCTTATACTTGTTTTATTTTTAGCAGCCATTGCCAAGAAATGAAAGAGAGGATATAATGGACCAATCTTTTTGGTTGAAATCTAAGACGACTATCTTGCAAAATGCTAAGTGTAAATATGAAATTTACTTGCCTTTACTGTTCAAATTAACAAAAGCTTGCTCAGTAAGTTTACGAGGGAAATTGATAAGATTCTAGTTCCTTCTTTTCATGTAGTTAAAATATCTAACAAATTATATATAGCGCATATTAATTATGTTGTTCTATTTGCTAGCTCCATGCTTTGTCATTGTTCTAAAAGATATGCCGGTAATACTGATTATTTTGGAACCCAATATATAATTGTTGCATGCTTGAGGACATGTGATCTTAGTAAGAGGGATGGTTTCTGAATTATTCCTTGTTGAAACCTCAATTTGAAACGAGCCGATTGTTGTTCATGAGCGCGGATTGTTCTCAAAACTACGTTGAGCAAGCCTATATTCAACGTTTTAACTGACCTCGTGAAGTATCACCCTGATGGAGATTAAAATGTAATTGAGGGGAATTAATAGCCGTATTAGGGAATGTTTCAAGTCTCCAAAAATGAGCCGTCCATTGAAATTTTTCTTTGTCTAGAGTTGAGTCAGTTTGTCTGATAAATGGTTAGTTTGAGCTGATATTCTTTTGCCAGGTAATCTGTTGTGTGTTTATTAGTGCCTCTGCACGTAGTAGTGTCTCTTTCCAAGTCAACATTGCTTCTTACAGCATATTTAGACGAATCATAGTGTAATTTGGGTATGAGTAAAAATCGAATCCTAAATCATTACGAGTGTTAGATTGTTGGAAACTTTTTTTCCATGAAAAGGAAAGCATCAAAAGCTAGAACAAGAATTAAACAAAATTTGGATTCTCCGATGCTTATAACATTACCTGAGAATAGCTTAATTAATTCTTGCAAGACAGGTGGATAAGTTGTGTAAAATGTAAATTTATTTTGAGGTTTGTTACCTGTAATTTGTATGCATTCATATAATTGTTTCAATGCCGACTCCGTTGGTGTAAGATATCCAACATCATCGACTCGTGATGAATGGGAAAAGATATCAGTCTTCAAACGGACGTCGTATGGAGTGGATTTAGAACAAACTTGAAGATAGCCAACGGTATAAATCAAGTTTGAACTGTCAACTGTTTTAAATTTTAATACAAAGGAAATCATCCTTATTCTCCCTTTCAAAACAAGCAAGCGTTATAAAATAAATATGGGAGCTATGATAGGCACTTCAAAAAACAACAGTTAAGTGTCAAAAGATCAACATTGGTATATTAAACCAATATGTAAACTAGAGAACACATTGCAAACCAAGCTCAAACCAATGTGATTCCTTCTTTCTTTCCCTTTTTTTTTTTTTAAATCAATGAAACTTGCCATTCATTTCTGTGACAGTGTCTGTGTGCATTTGGAACCATCTATCTAGTTAACATAAAATTTCAACATTCTAATGTTCCAGCAGTGAAATTTTACGACTTTGATATACGCGCGCGCGCTCAAAAATCCATTCCTACACGCAAATCACATTAAAAAAGATTTCAAGATATGTGTTGTAATGAGGATGATTTTGAAAAGTTATGATAATTTTTGAAAAATTCAAAAAATCCAACTAATTTTAACAAACTCTCCTGGCCTATATAGAGTGAAAGATATGCTATTACCAAACCGATGTCATGAAGCTGCGATACGTGCCACGCAGTGCCTGTAATCTTCAAAGTAGATGCAACCAAGACTAATATTCTGTAAACTCTTTCTTTTAAAAAAAAAAAAAAAAAACCGGATTACTTAGCACTCAAGTGTTGGATGACATGGAAAACCACGATGACATTTGCGGGTTTTAACAAGATAACATGTCAAAGGGTTAAAAATGTGATTGCCATTATGCAGTACTACTGGTTATGAAAATGATGACAAAAAGGGTAAAAAGTGAAGAATGTGCTGAGGTGCCCTTTGAGGAGAGTGATTAAGGAATGCGACCCAAGTGGCAAAAATATTGAAGGGTGTGAATGTGTAGAGTCAAGTGTGAAATGTGAGTTGGTGGAAAGGCAATCTTGATGAGTGGTCATTATGCTGATGCTTCTTCTTCTTGGAATATCAACATCATATATAGACACACACATACGCACTTCTTCCAATTCTAATTATAAGACATTATATTAATTATTTTTCACAATTTTTTTCCTTTCACCTTTATTTAATGTTGATGTAAAGAGGCAATAAACTTTTTAAGAATGTATTTTAATATAGATAAAGCAGGAAATTCCAAATTTCTTTATGAAGTGTTTGGCTTGATAGAAATTTGGATTTGTACCAACTACCTCATTTGGATATATAAAAATTTATAAATTTAAATTTTATTTTATTTTAAATTATAATTCCTTTATAATTTCAAATTCATTCTATACCATAGCCATTTGAAATTCTAATCATTTCTAACATTTTATTCTGTTTGCATTTTTACTATTAATATTTTAATAATTTTTATATCTTTTCTCATCTTTTATCAATTAAAAAATAAAAATAAATTTATTATTTCATTTTGAATTTTAATTCTTTTCCTTTCTTCATTTAAAATTTTTTAGACTGACAAAATAAAATATGTTAAGCACACAAATTTTTAACGTGAGATTTGAAATATAAGATTTTAAATTTTAAATTTAAATATAAATTTATCAATCCAAATGTTATTTTAATTTGTAGATATAACTAATAAATTTTAAGGTTTTTTTAATTTCAATAAAAAATATTAAAAATAATTGATAAATAAGATTAAAAAGAATAAACATGGATATACACACAGGGGGGGGGAGAGGTTGATTGCAGGGAAGCTTAAGTAACAAGGGTTGATTAAAGTAGAATGCAAGTTTCAGGAAAAGCCAAATAATGGGTTTTGGTGGATGTTATCATTCTCATCCTTTCTTTGTTCATTCATTCATTCATACCCTTTTTCCATATTCTATTCATGTACGAAAAATAATTAAATTACATGAATTTTTATTTAATTTTGTTGCATGATGATGCGTATGTATCAGTGGCAACTCGTAAAAATACTAGTAGAGCCAGTCCCTCGCATCTTTATCCACAGTATATCATGATTTTACCTACCTCTCTCTTCAAATTTTGGCATGAAGACTAAAAAGTCCCACCATCATCCCTAACTGCCAACATTTTTTAACAACCTCGTAGAATATTATTTCATTTCCTTAACCAAATGGTTTTTCAGTTTTTATTTATTGTTTAGTGTCAAGTTAGTGGTCAGCATAAGATAAATTATCACAGCATGCGATTGTCCGGACTCCAGATATCCTCACAAGCAATCAACTGACAAATGCTAAGATAAATTGGGATACATAAATTTTATCTTAAAAAAAAATAAAAAAAGGATGTGTGCGAGGGGAAAAGTGTCCTTTGCATGTATTTAGGATTTAAAAATTGTTTCAGGGGCCATTACACTTTTGAGTATTGATTACGTATGAATAGTGTACTGTATTATAACTTTATGTTTTTTTTTTCCTGTTGTGATAGTATTATAACTTATATTGATATCGATTATGGTCATCTTATACTTAATAATGCAATATGTGTGTGCATTAATACAAATCTTTCTCCCTCCCACTCACACATGTATATATTAATCTGTGATTTATAGTTACTATATTTATTGTTTTTCATTCCAATTTCCAAATATTAAAAACTTGACCACAATATCAAAGGAAGCAGTGGGGAAATCTTGCCTGAATGTCATGATGCTATGCATTTATTAATAATTTTTTATGATATTCCATCAGTTTCTAAATATGAGAGAAATTATCAGACAATATTTGTTTTATAAGCAATATTACACATTTCAATAAGTATTTATCAAAATTTTTTAAAATCACCCTCATAAAATCATTAATTTTTATTCACCAGACAAAATATTAATGTAAACTAATTTGATTTAGTATAAGAGTATTTTAGTTAAGTTTTTTTTATTTTCGAACATAATTGTTACATTTAAGTAACTTATCCCTTCCCATCCACTTTTCTACAGTTTGGCAGTCAATCTACCCTTCCAATTTACAGTCCATTAATCTCCATAGCAAAACAAAAATCCCAGGCCAGTTTTGGCCATCCATCCCCAATAGAAGGAACCACCCCCACCACTTGGCACTCTTTCAAAACTATATATTACCTTTGAAAATTAACCCAGTAGAGGTACGCAAATGTCCAAATCAATTAATTTCATTCTCTAAAGCATTTTACATTTCACTGTCCAAAACCAAACGTCTCAGACTTTTTAAGTGGCCATACAATTCGTCTATCTCGTACCTGCTTTTCTCCTAATATCAACTAACTCTTCGCAGAAAGAACACATTTCTTGTGTTAAAGCCACTTGGCTATTGGATGACTCCACGGGCTCCGGTGACTGTTCATTAATTTATTCGCTTCACTTTAATCTTATACTATGTAGTAACCCTTCAACAAAAGTTGGCGTGCGTAAAAAGACCTTATTAGCTTAATTACTATACCAAGTTTCTTTCAGCCCTGGGAAAAGCCAAACCTAAGAGAGGGTACTCTGTTCAAGACGATCGACGACAAATTTTCTGGTGCTCGCCTTCCATGCGCGACACGCCATGCCTTGAAAACTGGAATCCCACAGAGAGTTTAAATTATAGTATGCAACGTTCAGAAATCAGAATGATTCTTAATTGTAGTGAAATTAATATAAGAAGAAGACTGGCCAGAGTTTCTTGAGGCAAACGTCAAAATTCATAAATATACATTGGGGAAGGAAGAGGCTCGTGCTTGTCTTCATATTCCTACTGTGCATTTCTTACACCCACGCATTCTTAACAAATATATATATATAATTACTCTCCCGATCGATCATAAATAGAAGAAACAAAGAAAGCAAACAAGCAAAATACGATTCGCAACCTCAAATTAAAACGTCAATCCTTTTCATCGACGACATCTACGCTAGCAGCACAAGACAAGAAATTGTGGAAAATCCTAAAGAGTGCAGAGCACGAGATTTCCTTCACTTTCCTCCAAACCAAACACTTCCTTTTCCTCGCCGAAGCAGGCCTGTTCTTCTTCCCCTGACCCACTTTCTCCTTCACCCTCCCGAAGCACTTCTGGGTTTTCTCGGGCACGCTCTCTTTCCTGGAAAATTTGTAGCTTCTCAGATACATCTGCCTGCAGGAGATACTGTCCACCACCCTGGGGTGTCCGTACACCTGCGATCCTTTCCGGCGGTTATGGCTCACCGACCTCACGAACTCGGCGTCCGATTCCGGCCACTTGTAGAGGTTAACGTACGTGGCTCTGACGGGAACACGGGGGTCTCGAGCGTCGCTGACGCAGTTGGAGATGCAGACGGAGGTCATGGTCTCTGTTTCGGCGCTGATGCTTCCTGTGGAAGAGGGAGGGATGGAGGGGTATAAATTGGGAAGAGAGAAAAAAAGCCGAAAGGCTTAGATTGGAAGAAAAGTGAATCCCATAGGGTTGTAGTGTAGTGAATGATTTTAATGGCGTTATAATGCGTGATGATTAGCAATGACTGTGTTTTTAGCTTTGCCAGGGCGGGTGTGAGAGTCTGTGCTGAGACGAAAGTGATACAGACGAAAAACGCCACACTTATCTGTAGACACAATTAAAAATGTGGTTTTTGATTAATGTTTTGCTGATATTATTATTATTATTGTTATTGTTATTGGCTTTTGTCAGCTGATATTATGATTTATTAATTAACCGGTTACTGTTTTAAAAGAAAAAATGGGATTTTGCTGTAACAGAGGATAACTGAGTGGAATCATGTTTCTCCTGTTTTTAAGTTGTGATGTGTTGATGTGACTACTTGTTTTTTCGCAATCAATTTTTTTTTTTTAAGACAACCTTTTCTGTACGCATGGGATGTTGATTTTGGAAGGAGTTGACTCGGTGGGCCTTGAATGCACAAGCCCTGCCCTGAGCAGAAAATGATACTGTAAAATAAACAATTTCTTTCCTCTCAACATGGCATGAGATATAAGGATGCTCGTTATTTAACTAAATAGTTATAGCTTGAATCATAATTCTTATATATATATATATAATAATTTATTAAAAAATTATTTTCTATTTTTAATATTTTAAAAAAGATCATCTTTATTGTTGGCAAATCCTACTCCTTATATTAAAAAAAAAATCTTCATATAGGATAAAATAATATAATTATTGTTTGCACTCAAATTATGAATTTAGAGGCTCAAACTCAATTTAATTTAATTAATATTAAAATAATTAAAGAAAATTTTTATAAAGCCTTATCCACTAAGTCAAGACCATCATATTCCACCCATGATAAGTGGCCATGATAGAAGAAATGCTTTCTAAATTCAAGAAAACTGATGATTATGGGGCTCGGGTATCACGTTAGGATCATCTCTATAAATAGAGGAACTCTCTCTCAAGATCGGCATCACCAGCATCAACAAACTATCAGTCTCAAACTTCGCGTCTACTGCTTATTTTATTTTATATTTTATGATATAGTTTTAGTCTTTATTTTTCTATTATACAACTAACATAGCCCGTCACCTCACCTCTTTCTTTACTTAATGTATCTCTGCTTTTCTCCATCTCTATTAGTGTTCTTCATTTCATTCTTATATTCAGGTGAACTGTGGTAAGAGAGCTCAAGTTTTACATGTTTGATTAGAAATTAAGTTCTTCCATTCTCTTGAGACCCCACGTCGCTGGCACACCTCGCGACACCACACCTCGTTGATTATTTTTTACAAACAATTAATAATTAAACCAATTTAACTAATTCAAGTTTTAAATCTCTTTTAACCTTTTTCTGCTGATCTTTAATGGAAAAGGCATCATTTATAATACCAAGTTGTTTCATACGGAACAAGGGTATCTTGTGGGGAAAAAAATATTAAATGCCTCTCAAATTTTATAATTTATTTTATAAATAAAAACGAAGTACCTTTCAAAAATTTATCTATAAATAGAAACCAGAGGAAGCATAAGATAGGATTAAATTATTTACTTAAAATTGTTTCTACTTGGACGATAGCATGTAATTTAAGGGAGATACAAAACGAACAAGAACTGGGTATAAACTATAAAAGAAATTCATTCTTACAAGCGAAGACATTAAAAATAAAATCTTCTTCCATGTGTGAAGGAATTCATGAGGACAGAGCGTGGTTAAGATTAACAGATTCACTTGAGTAAAGATCCGGAAACGATATATCTGGTAAATGATCACACGTACTGTGATTTAATCTCATAACACTTCTTCATTCGAATAAAATAAACAAATGAAATAAAAAATATCATTATTGTCACTTGGTCCTTGCCAAACCGGACATTAAGAAAAATATGATCTGATCATTAACATCACTAGACTTATTACGTTTTGGCATTTTAATATAATAATACTTGATAACAATTGCAGGGGATCAAATTGTTTAAAATAATATTTTAGTTCATGGCCTCCCGCCCTTGATGACGTGTTCAATCAAGTTTCGTCCACGTCAACCAATAGTAGATGTCGTTATGACATGACAAAAATACAAAATATAAAAAATACAATACAACAAATCTAAATATTGAGTATAAAATTATATAACCTTTTTTTGTTATA